GGCAGCACCCAATGACGGACCCTTGGAGACACAGGGACACTTGCAAAGGGACCCAGACACGTTTGTGGCTACACAGTCATCTGCAGCAAAATGGTGGCTCTAAGGCCCAACACACCAGTGAACACATGCGGATTGGGAAGAACCCCGTTAGTCACTCACAGCCATCCTCCTGGCTCCTTTGCCTCCACATCTGGGGCTTTGGGGACAGGAAGATGAATACACAGCCCTCTTTCCCTCCCCCCCCCCGCCCCCGCCCAGCTGGAGGGCGGCAAGGTGGGGGGGGCAGGAGCCCCATCCTCAGCACTTTGTTGGAGGAAAACACAGGTGTCTGTTCCTCCTTTGACTCTCTTGGTGCAGCCAGGGGGCGGGGGGGGGGGAAGCGAGAGACCCCAAATTTGCGCTTCAAGAGCACAGAGAACAAGGACCAGGCAGACACAAAAGGCCAGGCTCCCAGCAGGTTGAACATGGAAGCCAGCAATCAGACACTCACTACCAGGGGAGTTTCACTGGCAGCCACAGCTGTGTGCCCACCCCCTGCACACACCCACAGTGACTGCCTGACCCTGCCAGGTGCCCACATACGATCCCCCATGTGCATCCCAGCCCCATGGTGGACCCAGGTGACACCACCTGCATGCAAATGCAGAAACAGCTCTGGAGCCACGCAGACGTCCCCGAAGCCCTCATCACGACCCACCCCCCAACTCCAGGCTCTTTCCCCCACTCACGTTTGGACATTCATGTACACACATACTTCTGTACACTCTAGAATAGGGCCTCAGAGCCCAGCCCCAAGGTGGGCCTGGTTGAAGTCAGGGTCATGACTAGGGAAAGGGTCAGGGCAGCCAGTGGCCCCCTAAAACGGTATTGGTCCCCACCGGGCAGTGCAGGGTTTGTCTCTCCTCTCTGGCCCCTCCGCCATCCCCCACCATCATCTCTTCCTGCCTTGAACCCCTGCTGTCCCCTGCTTGGCTGACAGGACTCCACCCCAGGGAAAGATAGCTGGGCCATGAGCTGGCTTCCCTCCTCCCAAATTCTTTTCTTGCTTCCTCCTCCAGGCAGTCCACTCGGACTTCTATGGTTGGGAGGGGTCCACCCTGCCTTCCCTCCCTGAAAGTACTCTTCCCTCAGTTGGGAAGGCCTAGGGGTGACTTTATGATGATGACCAAAATGACAACAACTCATTCCGTTTCCTGAACACATGCTATATGCCAAGCACTGCGCTAAAGCCTAATCACAGCCAGAGAGATAGGTGCTATTATTACCCATTTTACGAACAAGGAAAATCTGTGGTTCAAGTCACAGGATTAAAAGATGCAGAGCCAGAGTTCAGACCCTGCGCTCTTATGACGAAGCCCAATTCTTGACCTCTGCACCCACAGCCTCCATCTGGGACCCCTGAGGCCACACAAGACATTCCTGGCTCAGCAAGGACCCCTGGCTCTAGCACCCAGCAAGAAGGGAGCATCCTGCCCTCCAAATCAGCCCAGCAGAGCCCTTGGCCCCAAGCGTGGCCTGGTCCAGCCTCAAAACATCTAATGGAGCCCAACCTAGTCCCAAGCATGGCCTGCCCCACCCCAACTCATGCCTGCACACATCTTCTATCCCAGAAGTGGGCATGAAGCAGCCAGGGCCAGAGCCAGGGAGAAAATGCACTGTAAAAAGAGGACCCTACACTGCGCCAGGACAGGGAGCAATAGCATCATGGGGATAGAAGGGGGGCCACGGAGACCCAAGGAGATAGCTGAGGTGGGGACATCAGGGAGGCCCCAGCCCGTATCCCCTTTCCTGGAAGGATTGTGTGTGTGGCTGCACAGAAACAAGGGCGCGTGAACATTCTGCTGCTCATGTGGCTGTGTGGCAGGAAATGTCGGCAAGCATGCATGTCTACATACACACCCAGGTGAGCCAACAGCATTACGTCTTCCATAAAGCCGTGTGTCTGTCCATCCATCTGTCCTTGAGTCTGTGTGAGTACGCACAGGGGTGAACACACACTTGAGTCAGCCTGTCTCGGAGTGTATCTGGGAGGCACTGTCGCTGTGTCTTCAGGAGCCTACATCGATATACGTGTCCCATCTCATGGTGTGTGTGTGTGTGTGCGCGCGCGTGCGTATGTGTGTGTTTATGTGTGTGCATTGTGGGTGGGAGCGAACACAGGTCCACCATTTCCTGGGTCTGTAGGTTCCTCAATGGCCATGTGTCTGGATGATCAGCATGAGCAGGTCACTTATGTTCCTGTCTTGGGAGCGGCAGTGATGTATATGTCTGTCCACATTCTGGTGTGTGTCTGTCTGTTGGGGAAGGGGTCTCATCCATCCACCCCCTCCTGTCTGCCGAGGACTCAGGACTCAGGCCTATGGCTGCAGTGGGCTCAAGCAGCGCCAGCAAGCGCCCCGCCCAGCCGCCCTGGATTTCGATGCTTTTTCCAGAAGGAGATTTCCCCCCCCCACCCCCCGCCCTTCCCCCTCGCCCACAGTGCCTTTCCCCGCCAGGGCCCCGCTGCTCCAAGCTCGTTCCTGCTCAATCATTTATTGACTTTAAAATCGAAGCCAATTCTGGTTTGAAAAAAAAAGAAAAGGGGGAGAAAGAGAGAGAGAGAGAGGCCAGAGAGACAGAGAGAGTCCGAGACTCGTGGAGAGGGGTGGAAGCAGAGATGGGGACAGAACCAAAGTCAGAGACAGAGACAGGGAGACACAGAGACAGTCAAAGATATAGAAGGGCAGAGGCGGGGGGGGGGGGGCAGAGCAAGCCAGATATAGAGACAGAGACAGAGAAAAAGACAGAGACTGGCAGGGCAAATTATGGAAGCAGAAAGATTTGTAAAAACAGAGACTCCAGATCCAAGAGATGTGATTGTCGGGAGGGGCAGACCAGACCCTGCTGACCAGCTGACAGCAGCCGCCTGCACCGAGCTGAGGGGTGCAACCCAGAGAAACCATGCCCGCTCTCCCCCCCACCCACCCTGGGTACACTCAGGCCCGTGACACAGAGCCGAGCCCTAGCTCCCTTCTGGGGTGTCACAGAGTCAAGCCCTGGCCATGGCCCTAGGTGCTACCCCAGCCCCTTCCTAGTCTTATCACCAATGGATCCATCAACTGGCATTTTCTTTTCCAGGGGCCCAAGTCTTATCCAGGTCTCAGGGGGCAGGCCCGAGTACTGGGCCGGTGGTTGGTGGGCAAGGCGCTACACAAGCATGGGGTCTTGATCCCACTAGGGCCCCGAATACCAGCACACAGTCCAGCCAAGCATAACCCCAAAGGCAAGCACAGCTCAGACCCCGCTAGGTGGGCAAGGTTGTCATGCGGCCCAAGATAGAGTGATTGGTCAGCCAGAGGCACAGATTGGGGGTGGGGGGTCCCTCATGCTGCCATAGTGGCTAGAGTGCCTGCTTACACCTGCAGGCACACTGTGATACGTACATGTGCCTGTGTGCCCTCACAAACACTTATACCCGGTGTCGTACAGGAAAACCCGCTCCCCGGGCCACACACGAGTCCATACCATGCAGGCCTGCCCACCGCCAACCCAAAGGAGCCACATGCAGACCCTGAGATCGACACATACATACACACTCGAGTCTGTGGATACAGGCGTGTGTCGTGGCCACGGCTGACACACAACCCGGGCAAACTGTCTTGCCCCTCGCCACACACCGCCACCTGGTAGCCGCCATATTCACTCGGACTCCCACTCCCATCTGTGGGCACACTTGGCAGAAGGCTGGCAGGGCTCAGACTGGGTAGAGGAGACAATTAGGACCCCAGGCCTGGCCCAAAGACTCTCCTTACACACGCAGGCCCCGCTGGCAGGCAGGACTCGGCAGCCCCCAGGTGTCCCCTCTTCGGAGTCTGTGTTGCCAGCAGTGGCCTGGCCCTGCAGGCAGCGCTGCCAGGGCCACTGTGGGACTCTGGACAGTTCTTGTGCCCTCTCGGAGCCTGGGGCCACAGCCCAGGAAGGTGGACTGGCAGGGCAGGCATCCCCCGCGCTTTTGCCGCCGCCGAGCGCCGCGCAGGGAACTTCGCTGGAGGCGGGACGCGCTCTGCTCTCGCAGCGCGCCAGCGCCAAGGTCGGCTCTGTTGTGCCCGCGGCTGACCCGACGGCGTGGCCGCAGCGCTGTCGGCGGCATCCACGGCTGCCTCCCGCCCCTCCCGCCTCCGGGCGGCAGGACGGGATTCCCCCCCGCCCGCCTGGGCTACCGCGCCGCAGCCGGGGTAGCCGGGGCCGGAAAGTTTGCGCCGAGGAAAGTTTGGGGCGGTGGGGGGGCCGCGGCTGCGACGTCCAGGGTCGGCCGAGAGGCGCGGCCCCGGCTGGCAGCGCGCCCACCCTCCCCTCCCCTCCCCTAACCCTCCGAAATTTGGGAGCCCCGCCATTTTCTTAGCCCCGCTCCCATGTGAGGCCTGAACAAAGACTTTGGGGCGACGCCCGGGCCGCTCGGCCGGCCCCCGGCACCCCCGCTGCACGCAGGGGCCGCCGCCACGCACGCCGGCCGCTGCCACCCTCGGGAAAAGCTGCGCCCGCCCCGAGAGCGCCGCGGGACCCAGTCCCCGCTCTGCGCCCTCGGGACCACCCCCTGCCACTCTGTCACCCCCGCAACCGCTGCCAGTGGCCACGCTGCCCGGGTGCACGGCACAGTCGCCCACCGGTCGGCGGGAGTCCACCGCACCCCAGTCGAGCGCGCGCGCACACACACAGACACACACACACGCACGCACACACACACGCACTCCCGCTCCGCGCTCCGGGGGCAGCGCCACGCACGCAGCCGGCCACCCCCAGAGCCCCAACCGGAGTCCGCCCGGTGGCCAGGGTCGCACGCGCACCGTGACGCCCGCATGCGGGCGGGGACTGCCCACAGCACGGCTTGCACCCCGCGGCCGCCCGCGGGCTCACTCCCCCCGGGCCGCCGCGCGCCCCCTCCGGCCGCCCGCCCGCCCGCCCGCCCGCCGGCCTCCTGCGCCCGCTCCCCTCCCCGGTCGCCCAGGGGCGGCGGCCGGTACCTGGGTGAGGCAGTACGGGGAGTACATAGCTGGGCGCCCGGGCGGGAGCGCGGCGGCCGGCCGCGGCGAGGGGAGGCCCGGCAGGCGGCGGCCGCGCTCGGGCTCCGGCTCCGGCTCGGCTGCTCCGGCCTCCGCCGCGCTGCGCCCGCCCGGCCCGCGGCCCCGCGCTCGCCGCTCGCAGGCTCGGCCCCGCCGGCTCCGGGGCCGCCGCCGCCGCCGCCGCCGCCGCCGCCGCGCTCGCCGCTGCCTCTCGCGTCCGCTGCTGCCGCCGCCGCTGCGCGTCTACTCCATGCCGCCGCCGCTCGGCCGGTCACCCTCGCCCGCCGCCGCCGCCGCCAACGCCGCCGCCGCCGCCGCGCTGTGAAAGTGAAAGTTTAGACAAAGTTTGGAAGCGGCGCACTCCGGGGAGAGGGAGCGGGCGGGCGGCGCGGGCGGGAGGAGGGGCGCGGGGAGGGGCGGGCAGGGCGGGGGAGCGGCGGCCGGCGCGCACACACACACTCACACTCACACGCACACACGCACACACGCGCGCGCGCGGGGGCGCACACCGACACAGCCACCCCGACACGTGCTGGCCCGCGTTCCATCGCAGACACACGCTGACACACAGCGGGGTTCGGACCCCGCCACACATGTCACGTACAGAACGCATTGCCACACGTTCCACGTTCCAACAACGAAGCACACACAGACACCTACACACACGCGGCATGGACACACGCCCTGGCACACCAGCCCACGACCCACGCGTTGACAGGCACACGGGCCCACCGTCACATGATGATAACCTGTACACACGCATTCCAACAACGAACCATGTTTAGACTCGCGATGCGGGCCTCGGGGGCACACACACTGATACACACCAAGACACACACACCAGTGCACGCTGACACTTAACGCTGACACACTGACAGGCATGACCACACAACCACACTCTGATGCACTCCAGACATACAACTCCTATATATAGACACCCAAAGGCACACACAAAGCCACACCAAAACATCTTGGCAAGAGCGGCAGCACAGAGGACACAGCCCGGCACACAGAGAATGACACTAATAAAGGGGAAATGTGCTAACACACTATCGTACAAGCATACACCATTAGATACCTGGATACACATGCTAAATGACACAGGGAAGGAGCACACTGACCCTGATAGAAAGAAATATAGTGTCACTGATACAAAGTGACATTGGCAGTCACAACAACATAGGGACATACATAGGACACACCTGGTGCCCAGATGTGCCCCTGGGCCTTGGGTACATGGACCAACAGTCCAGAGGATCCTTCAGCCGTGCACACAGGTATGACATGTATACACCCAGGCCCCTCCCATACCCTAGCTTTATGTCACTCATGCAGATACATACATACACACACACACACACACACACACACACTTCTACTTGACCCTGATCACGGACATACACAGATCTAGTAGCACCACAGAGCCCAAACCGCAGGAACAAAAATGGGCATGGAGGCCTTAGGTACATGTATACTCTTGCCCCCACCCTCCGCTGCCCATAAGACTCTAGTCTCTCATGCAGGCCCCTGACTCCTCATTTCCAGAGCAGAAAGGAATGGGGGCAGAGGTTGGTACTGAGGACCCTGGTATGGGGGCAGGGGGAGCCCTTAGGTGACCCCCAAGTGGGCGGGGAGGCAGTGCCTGCAGCCCCTGGGCAGCTCCTGCCGAGACAAAGCTCTCTCCTGCTGCCAGGTACAGTCAACACCTTCTCACCCTCCAGGGCCAAGAAGCTGTGGCAATTCTAAGCCGTGCATTGTCTGTTGGAGGGGTGTTGGTGCCCAGGTGTGTGTGTGTGTGTGTGTGTGTGTGCATGTGTGCGCACATGCACTCACACACGTGCAGAACTGGCTGTGTGGGGCTGCCATGGCTGTGCCCATTGGGTCCCTGCAAGTAGACACAAGGGGGGGTGAGTGTGTGTGTGTGTGTGTGTGAGAGAGAGAGAGAGAGGGAGAGAGAAAGAGAGCACACCCACCAAGGTGGGGACTCAATTACATCATTGAGGCAGGGTGACTGGGACTGTGTCCTCAGATGTCTGTGTGGGACTAGGTGTTCTCTGGGGGAAAAGAAACACAGATCAGTGTACCTCCAGGAGTCTTGTTGTGTGGACCAGTGTTGTGTAGTGGTGGGTGTCGCTGTGGGCTTGGGGGGTTGTCTATGAGTCAGAGAAGGTTAGCATCTGTCAGGCCCTGGGTCAAGCACTGGGGACACAGTGAGAAACAAGACAGAAGCCCCTGTCCTCAGAGGGCTGACATTCTAGTGGGAGTCAGGTGTAGATGGTCTGGGTTTGACAGAAAGTACTGGTGATGTGGCTGCATGGATGAACTAGCATGCGTGTTTCAAACTGACCACAGTGTGTGCAACAGCCCTGAGGGTCTTTCTGTCAGAGTGCCAGTGTGTGTGATGAGCTTGTATATTTGTGGCAGAGATATGGGTCTGTGTGTCCCAGAGTGCAAGTGACCAAGGGGGTACATGGGTAAGGGTCCCAGTGAGTCTGTGATCAGGGTCTGTGCAGCAGAAGTGTTCACGGGTGTGACTGTTACCAGGAGTGTGCTCCTGCGGGGTGGTCTCTGTGGGTCTGGGGCAGTGATGAGGATCTGTGTGTGTGTGTGTGTGTGTGTGTGTGTGTGCATGTGTCAGGGAGGGAGTCTCTGTGTGCCTGAGCAAGTGTCTGGGTACATGTGTCCATCATTCAGTGCTTCAGGGGCTCTGTCCCTAGAACCCTGCGGGTCCCACAAGGCCTCCCCTGCTATGCCACAGCCGCAGCGATGCAAGGCCGTGGCAGAGGGAATCGATACGTCCTTAAAAATTCAAGGGCTTCTCGTAAACAGAAACTTTTAACACCGTTTAAAGTTTCAGGGCCGTTGCTGCTGCTCCTCGCAGCAGCACCGCTGCAGGAGGAAGGCAGGGGGGGTCGTGAGCAAGGGTTTGGAGGGAAGGGAAGGGGCCAGGCTGCAAGCTGCACAGAGAAGGGGGGGGCGGGGGGTGAGAGGCTGAAAGAAGGGACAGGAAAGGGATTTAGAGATGAAGGGGGACTGGGGCCTGGATGGCTCAGGGAAGAAATGGAGCGGGTTGAGATGTCTGGCACCTTTAATATAGCTGGAGGGCCTGCGGGGGATCTTGAGGGCCAAGCAGACCCTCCTGGCCCCTCTGCAAATGGCCATGAAGGGCCACGGCCCTCCGAAGTCCCCTCCCCCAACTTGGGTCCAGTCCTCCCCCACCCAATGGCCTGTCCTCCCAGCCCCATCCACCAGTCATGCCAGACCCGGGGGCTCGGTCTGCCCACTCCCTTATCACCCTCCTGGTCCTGCATCTGGCCCCAAACCTCGGCTCTGCTTGAACCAGCTTCCCATACCCACTTACACCCACACTCACACCACAATTCCATTTGCACACACATAAACCGTCCATCCTTCTTTCACATACACACTCTGCTCATACTCACACACACTCACACACAAAAAACACCTATCCTTTCATTTAGGTGTGAGCGTGTGCACACACACATGGAAGCAACACCCATCCTTCCATTCAGGCGCACACACACACACACACACATCCATATACACAGGACATCTTTCTGTTGAGACACACACACACAGAGGACTCATCCTTTCATTCAGACAGATAGACACACACACAGGCAACACCCATCCTTCCATTCAGACACATTCACCCAAAAAAGAACGCACATCCTTCCATTTACACATACACACATGCACAGCATCCATATACACATACACAGAACATCCAGCCTTCCATTTACACACATACACAGACATACACAGATAACACCCAGATACACACACAACACCCCTCCTTCCATTCATAAACACACAATACCCATTCTTCCATTTACACACATTCTCAAACCACTGTGCGCATATACACACTTGTTTCCTTATATAATCACAAACTACATCCATTTATGTTCACACAAACAAAATACTTGACCCCATGTTCATGCATATATCTGCACTCAGAATTCTCCACATGCTGAGTCCACCCCCCCCCGCCCTGTGTATACACACACACACACACACACACACACACACACACACTCTGCTCCCCTCTCCACAGCTGCCAGCTGGGAGGATTTTTATGAGGCAAAAGGGCTGCTCTAAAAAAAGTGGGGGGGGGCTCCCCTAGAGTACACCCGAGCCCCCCCCACCCCCTCTCCCACAGAGCCCAGGTCTTAGGGCACACCTGGCCTTCGAGAAATCGCGGGGGAGGAGGGCGCTGCCAGGAGGCTGGGCACAGCTGGGATGCCACAGCTGGAATCCCCCGCATTCCTCCCTGCCGGGACTGCCCACCTGGCTGCAGCTGGCGGCAGGTGTGTTCTTACAATGCAGGTGTGTGGGGGGATGAGGAGGAGGGAGGATCGGGAACCAGGCCCATGGCATTACCTGGCCAGGATGCTGGGGGTTGGTAAGGGAGGGCACTGAAACATCTGGGCCCCGGCAGCCCTGTCCTGGGCCACTGAAGGTGGGGCCAGGCATTGCTGGGCTCTGGGGCAGCTGAGCATGCCTCTCGGGGGATGTGGGTAAACATCTGGCACTCAGGATAACTGAAGAGCCAGCCTGTGGATCCTGCCAGGATCAGGGAGACGGGTGCTCTAGGCCTTCCTGTCAGGACTAGGGATCCTCACTCTTCAAGAGAGCCTGATGCCTCCTCCCTTGCCCAGCCTGGCAGGCAGTCTGTGCCCCAGGCCTGGGGTCCTAGCTTTGTGTTTGATGCCCTCACCCCAAGCTGGGAGCCCCCTAATGGGGTCTAATCCTGAGGTGTTATGGGACCTGCTCCCAAGGCACATCTGGCCAGGCACCTGGGACCACATCTCACACACAAGAGAATCACAAAGACACACAGGGTCTTCATACACACAAAGATACAGACCCTCCTCCTCTGGAGGACCATAATCCCACAGTCACAGGATCACCCAGAGATACTGTTGTGCTCCCTTCCAAAATAGCACACAGACACACAAACACACACATAGCCACATAGACACTCCCACACAGACCTTCCCAGATCCATCCACAGAGTAACACCAGTAACACCCCAGTGACACACAAAGACCGGCACCGTCACATAGACCCCCATGGAGACTCCAATATA